TGGGGTTCAATGTGGCCAAGTGCAAGGTGATGCACATTGGAGCCAAAAATCCTAAATATAAATACACATTGATGGGGTCTGAACTGGCAGAGACTGATCAAGAGAGAGATCTTGGAGTCATAGTAGATAACTCACTGAAAATGTCGAGACAGTGTGTGACTGCAATAAAGAAGGCCAATGCTATGCTGGGGATTATTAGGAAGGGTATTGTAAACAGATCAGCCAATATCATAATGCCCCTATATAAATCAATGGTGAGACCTCATTTGGAATACTGTGTGCAGTTCTGGTCACCACACCTTAAAAAGGATATTATAGCTTTGGAAAAAATGCAGAAAAGGGCAACTCGAATGATCAAAGGGTAGGAACACTTTCCCTATGAGGAAAGGTTAAGGTGCTTAGGGCTCTTTAGCTTGGAGAAACGACGACTGAGGGGTGACATGATTGAGGTTTATAAGATTATACATGGGAAAGAGCAGGTAGAGAAAGAGGTACTTTTCTCCCTTTCTCACAATACAAGAACTCATGGGCACTCCATGAAATTGCTGAGCGGTCGGGTTAGAACGGATAAAAGGAAGTACTTCTTCACCCAAAGAGGGATTAGCACTTGGAATTCACTGCCACAGGAAGTGGTGGCGGCTACAAGCATGGACGGCTTCAAAAGGGAATTAGATAAGCATATGGAGCAGAGGTCCATTAGTGGCTATTAGCCACAAGGTATAGATAGGGGCTCTGGGGCAAGTGATGCTCTGTGTTCTTGGTGCTTAGGGGGGCCAACAGTGGGAGGGCTTCTAATGTCCTGGGCCCACTGCTGGACCTCCTGATGGCACCTGCTATTTTTGGCCACTGTGTTGTGCAAGGTTGGGGTTATGCATGTCTGCCGCTACAGATTAGGGATTGGCATGAACCGGGAAAATGGAGGTCTGTAGGAATAGGCACGAACCTTCATGAACCTCCTTGTTTATTGAGCTGGTTCGTTTTGTGAGGTTCATGGTGCATTGAGGGGGATGTTCTGAGATCATAACTATATATATATAGTTATGGGTATGCCAACCTAGCAGTTTGAAAGCAAGAAATTACAAGTAGATAAATAGGTACCACTTCGGTGGAAAAGTAACTACGTTCCGTGTGCCTCAGCGTTTAGTCATGCCGGCCACATGACCACGGAGAAGTCTTTGGACAGCGCTGGCTCTTCAGCTTGGAAACGGAGATGAGCACCACCCCCTAGAGTCATATTCGACTAGCTTTCGAGCAAGGGAAACCTTTACCTTTATGGTTTTAATTAGTTTTTAAATTGCTTGTTCTGTTAGCCACCTGGTGGCCCCTATGGGGCAGAAAGATTTTTTTTCCTTTTTAACTCAAAGATTTTATTAATTTTTGTCAAAGATACATAGTTTAAACAATGTAAACGTAAACAGGTTTCTTCACCTGAAAAGGAAGAATAACACTGAAAAACAGTAACATCCTAAACTTTTTGAGTCATCAGGAGTGCAGAATACGGTAATAAAGTTTTAACAGTTATATAACATTATCTTGTATTTAGCCTCTGTAATGGTTTCCCAATCAAACTTTTCAAAGGTTATATTTTCTAAAATAGGATACCATTTCCCCAGGGGGTTATATAGGTCACGCTCATTTTGATCACTTGAATTATATATAGATATGGTTTCTAGCATGAAAAAATCCCATACTTTATGACGCCAGAATTCCATGCTTGGTGGATGACTATCTTTCCAACTTTTAGTTATTAGGGCAGAAAGATGAGGAACAAATGTAAGAAAATACATACATTGGGTCTTAAAGGTAGGCTTGCTAGGTCCAGCCTGACAACCATTGGGGGGACATTAGGAGTGTGTGACAGCCAACAGGGTGACATCACTTCTGAGTAAACCCAAAAGTGATGTCACACCTCTGTAAGAATTGGCCTAAACTCTATGGTGAACCCATAGATTGCCATTTCCTAGAGATCTGGCATTCATTTTTTTTTTTCTGCTGCCACTTAGAGTGGTGGTGGGAAACACCAGCTTGATGTGAGGAATCCCCCACCGGCACTGTGGGCTGCCAGCCCTAATTAAAGGTGGTTATTTCATTGATAGTTACTGTCGTTTTGCCTCAATAGGATGAAGAATGTGTAAAAGAGATACCTATTACCCACCACGTGAAAGAAGGATGTGAAAAAGCAGACCCTGCACAATTTGAATTACTTAAAGTTCTTGGTCAGGGATCATTTGGAAAGGTAAGGCACAAGTAGCAGCTTTTTTATTATAACATTTGTATTGCATGTTAAGAACTTGTGTTTTTATCTGAATAATCAGTTCTTCAGAATATTTTTCTATGAATATGATACAGATTGCTGCAAGTAGTGTTCTGGTTGTGGAGCAAGCCTTTGCCTTCCGCTTCCTGTTGCTGTTCCCTGTGAGCTGTAAGATGCTCTAGTAGTGCCTTGTGATTTTGTGATGGGTTCTGTAGTATTCCTAGATACAGTTTCTTGCTCTAGGCGCTCTGCAGATTTAGTCTGTAGCCTAATCATAGCATCTTTTACTCATTAGAATTCCTAGTGGATTATTCTTTAAGTTATGATACTCACATGTCAATATACATTTTAATGAAAGAATCCATAGCAGTGATGAGTTACTGGTGTTTTTAGAAGAACTTTGAGCATAGCATCTTATCCAAGTAGTGACACATTTTTATAAGCACAGTCTTTGTGTAAGTGGTTCTAGGAAAGGTATCTTGCAGCTTTAATAGCTAAAACCAATAGTCATAATAACTGCTGGAGGTGTTTACCTTTCCTCCCACATGCTGTTGTGATGCCGATTACCTTACCTGCCTCTTGTAGCTTTTGAAGGCGAGAGAATATCAAGTAGATAAAGAAACCTATTAATTGCCACTGTTTTCTCTCAAAAGAATGAAAAATGAAATGTTGAATGCTGGATCTGAGGTATTAGTAGGAATATACAGTGTGTGTACAGCAAACTGTAAAAGATTCTTGGATTAACACTTTAATTACTTAAACAGGCTTTCACTTTTGACGAAGCTTTGAATAATCTATGCATCATTACTCTTTGATTTACAAAACCTTTTAATAGTACAGCTCTATGCTACACACCCTGTACAGAATGTTTTCTCAGCTGCTTCATGATGAAGAGTACACTTTGCTTTGTGTGGAAGGAGGCATGCTTGATGGAAGGGAGCATATTTGAGTAAATTCTTAGGCAAAATAATTGAAAGCATAGCAAGTGTCCTTTAAACATATGTGTGTTCATCTGTTGCACCTTTGCTGAGACATTAAAATGTGCAAGTGTTTTTGGAGTGAGTTGCTAGATTCTCCAGAACACAATTTAAGAATCTTACTGCATTTTTGCTTTCTCATTAGCAGTTTCACATATCATAATAATATTTACAAATTTTGCTGTTACACTGCTATTACACTTGGAATTAAAATTTGAAATGGGAATAAAGCATGTTCGTAGGATGTGTGTAAGCAGCTTTATATGGATTTCTAAATTGGTGGGTGCAGTAACATAAGGCTAGTCAAACAGTACTGATTCTTCCATTGATGAGATGTACGTAGGCCTGGTTTAGAAGTACTGCTACCTAACAGTGGCTGGGCAAGTATGGTTTAGTAGATTTAATGCCACAAAGTTAGTTATTGTGTTCTTTCCCTTTAGCCTAACTACCTCACAGCATCAGTAAGTTAAAAAGTATATATGGGTTTGGGAAGAGTTCCTTGGAGAACTGGGTCAGACAAAAATCTGACAATAAGCAATAACGACATTCAGATTAGGAGTACCCTTGCCACTCATGATGTCCTTTCTGCTCTGTTTTCAATGCCATGGAAAAATTTGCAAGTGTTCTGTCTGCACTAGGCTTTAGAATTAAGAGAGGTTTTCAGTCTTGGGACATTCATGCTTGCTAATCAAAATGTCATCTCTGTGTACACTTTTAAAAGGAGGCTGCTAAACCCACAAAGAAGCAATTCCATCTGGTTTCCCCAATGAAACTCTAGCTGGTACTCCACGATGAGTGTTCAGTCTTGAAAATACAGGAACATAATCGTGACCTGTTGCTTTTAAAGTTACTGGAAATGAACATAAACCTAAATCATAGTACTTTGGTGTTTTTCTATCTTCAGATACCTGAGAGGAGGTTTTTTTGTGGGGGAGGGGTCTCAATCTTTGAGTATTTACAGTATTGATAAGAGAGCCAAAAGAAATAGTAAAAATATTATTCTGTATATTACCTCCTATTTTGTATGATTGTTTGACCTGTTAAGCAGTTCTTGTTGTACATACACTTATGTTAAGCTGATTTCTTGAGAATAGCATCACAATTCGGTAAAAAAAAAACCCTATGTATTTTTTATGCTGGTTCCTAGGAAACGGGAGACACTGTAGTTCTACATGAGAGACTTCAGCTTGGCTGTTGAAGGTCCTGGGGTTTCTCTTAAAATGGTCTTGCTGACCACACGAAAGTCACAGTACATAGATTATGTATACTTTGGTCATCATCTTGTAAAACATTTAATCTCTCTTTGGTTAGGTTTTTCTTGTGAGGAAAATTATAGGTCCTGATGCTGGGCAGCTGTATGCAATGAAAGTTCTGAAGAAAGCTTCTTTGAAAGGTATGCTTGCTTTTCTTTTTCTTTTTACACAGTGCAGAAACTAATTTGCTTGCCTGGGGACATTTATTTGGCTGCTAAATATATATGCGTTTGTATTTTTAGATTTATCCCAGTCTTAAATATACTCCCATTTGAATGTTGTGGAGCTTTAAGTAGATACATTTCGATTTTGAGTATTTAGGAACAAGCAAGGCATAGACAGAAGCGTAATGAGTTTGGGTGATTGAAGAAAATGGTATAGCAGTCGAGCTGCCTTCCTGCAGTGGAATCTCTTTTCTCCATTTCTTCAGTAGGGTTGGAAAATCCATGGAAGTTTGGGGTGTAGCCTGGGGAGGGTGGGGTTTGGGCAGGGGAGGGGCCTCAGTGGGGCAGACGTCCACCTTCCAAACCAACCATTTTTTCTGGGGGAAGTGACCCTGATATATCTTAAGGCACCAACTGGAGGCTGGCAACACTACATTTTTGATGTCTAAATTGAACAATAATTAGATCTCAAACTTATATGACTCTTGCTTCTGACACTTATATGACACTTATAAGACACTTGCTTCAGCAAATGACAGGGTTGTTGGTACTGGGGTTGCAGTGTTTTGTAAATTGGGAGATTTATTTTATAAATTATTTTTTGTATTTAAATGGTGCTCTGATTAGGCAGAAATGTAAAGTTTTTAGCATACGCAAAAACATGAGTCTGTTGACTCTTAGAAGAGAATTTAGTTTCTATTTTTTTATTTTATTAGATTTATATACCGCCCTCCCCAGATGGGCTCAGGCTGGTGTACAACAGTTAAATAATACAATTAAAACAGTATTAAAATAACAATGTACACATAAAATATCATAAAACATAAAATACCGTGTCAGTCTGCTGCATTGTGTGCATGTGCCATTTGAAAAAGCACAGGAAGATGATTTTTCTTCAGAATGGTTGCTTCATTCATGTGCAAACGCACACAAGCTTAATTAAAACTCATGGATTTAATTACCTATGGTTTGTTTAATCTGGTGACAGTCATAGGAGGTCCTGATTTGCACTTTTAACCATGCTAAGTGAAGGGGATCCTGCATGTGTTCCAGAGCTTATCTTCTGACACTGAAAACAAGGTTGAGGAATGCACTCTGCTAAATCCGTGCCTTTGTTGCATAGTGTTCAGTGACAACATTGTGAGGACTTAACCTTAAAATTGCTTTGATTAAATGCAAGACTTTACAGTTAACTCCACTTAAGCTATGAACATGAGAATATGCTTTATCCAGATGATTTCTTATTACAGTAATAGCAAATCGGACTATTGCCAGTTTTTCAGGAATTTAATTTGGTTTAAATTAGTCATTTTTTAGCTAATGGGCTACAAGCACAATCTCTGCAGTGTTTCCTCTGATTCTTATGGAAGTACATGGGAACTTCCTTGTATAGTGATCATTCATTTCTAATTATTTGTAGAAAGTTCTTGTTGGAGTGAAACATTAGTAGTAGGCCGTAGTAATAACTAGGGGTGTGCATTCAATTTATCCAAGCCGGAAAAATACCTTACCAATATTTTGGGGGGTATTTTTAAGCCAAATGCAGTTCAGGGATCTGTACTGGGCTGACCCCGAAAAAAGCTGATTTTTTTGGCTTTTATTCCAGTGCATTCAGCTATACCGAGAAAGCATTCTCCTCCAAACCCCACAGGGGTGGTGACGCAACTCAGCAAGTGAACTCAGAGGGCATATGTTTACGTTCTTGGAGAAGGCAGTAGGCTTGGAGAGGGCAGTAGCCATTTAAAGAGACAGTGGTTTGCTGAATCTTGCCACCATCGCCATGCTTGAAGAAAGCAGTAGGCATTTAAAGAGACCATGGTCTCTTTAAATGGCTTCTCTTCTTAAGCCCCACCGTGGTAGTGGTGTAACCTGGTGAGTGATTGATTCTCCAGGAGCCAAAATTTTTCAGGTTTTCTGAAAAAATTCCAGATTCCCAATGCTGTACCAATATTAGGATTTGGGGATATCAGAAAATACTGATATTTTTCAAGTTCAATATACTCAAACCCGAAAAATACCTTCTTCTTTTTTCTTTCACATCCCTAGTAATAACATACCAGCATACAGTTACTAAGCACAGATATCCATAAGTTTTGGGGCCAAAAATAGACTAATTTTGTTAAAAATTGCCTAAATCTGTTCTGAAATTCTTGGAAAGCAGCCTTAACTATAACTAAATAACTGCAGTTGTTAGCAGGGCGGAAATGAGTTTTTCGTCCACTGTTGCATAATTCACGTTGTTTGCTTATGTAGGTAACTGCTATTTCTGTTTGCAGTTCGAGATAGGGTTCGTACAAAGATGGAGAGAGATATATTGGTAGAAGTAAATCATCCATTTATTGTCAAACTGCACTATGGTGAGTGGTTTTTGTTCTGTTGCCTGTATGTTTGATTTTTGTTGAGGGACTGAAACTGTTGGTTGGATGGCTGAAACAGAGCTGGCTGAGACTGAATCCATCTAAGACGGAGGTCCTGTGGCTGGGTAGGGGGGATTCATGGCTCTTGATGGTGTGCCTTGAACATCAGTGCTGACTGTCAGGAGCCCGAATGTGCTTCTGGATGCCTCCTTATCAGTGGAGGCCCAGATCACAAATGTTGCTAGACTGGCGTTCCCTTCAGCTACACCAGATCAGGCAGCTGCCCCCCTTTTCATCTCACCCTGATCTAGCCACAGTAATCCATGCAACAGTCACCTCCAGGCTAGACTACTGTAACTTGCTCTGTGCAGGGCTACCCTTGAGACTGAAATTAGAACCGGTCCAGAATGCAGCAGTGCCAGTTCTTTCTGAAACCTCTCTGACGGCACACATGCAACCGTTGTTTGCCAGCTGCACTTTCTCCAGACTGAATTCCGGATCCGGTTCAAAGTTCTGGTATTAACCTTTAAGGCCCTAAACAGTCTAGGACCAACGTATCTACAGGACTTCCTCTCCCAGTATACCCCCAAAGACCATTAAGACGGGGGGGGGGAACCTTCTAGTGATCCCTGGCCTGAAAGATCTCCAGCTGTCCTCAACCAGAGCCAGCCTGGTGGAACTCTCCGCCTAATTACCTCCGTGGGCCTGTAAGACAGAGATGTTCCATCAGGCCTTCATTGAGCCCGGCTTCTCCCCCTCCCCCCAAGTGGTTAGGATTTAAGTTGGTGTAGTGAAGTGTCAGATGAAATTGTTACTGAATTGTTTACTGTTTTATTATTATTTTAACTGTTTAGCTTTATTTGTGAATGTGTTATTGGAAATTAGCTGTTGTAGATTTTCCGGGTTGTATGGCTGTGGTCTTAGCCAAGACCACGGCTTTACAACCCGGAAAATTTACAACAGCTAATGAACTCCAGCTGTGAAAGCCTTTGACAACATACTTATTGTAAATGTTGTCCACCTCCCTGAGCTCTGTGTACAGGGGAGGGTGGTTTACAAGTCGAATATATAAATAAAATAACTTGTTTCTAATTCATTTGTATCCTGCTTTTCTTCCCAATGGGGAACTGTTCATTGTTGTAGAATTGCGAGCACATTCAATGTAATGGATTCAAGCTAGACTTCTGGATTCATTTCATTTACATGGGATTATGATTCACAAACCAGTGTAACCAAACTGAACTAGTTCCATGAATTTCAGAGGAACTGGATTTCCTCAAAACTCTATTAACTGAGGCACACCTCCTTCTCATGAATTAAAGTAGGAGTCATGCAGTACATAGCCATCACTGATTTCTGCTTTAGTTGCTGATCAGAGCAAGCCTGCTAATTGAAGCGGTAGTCCAAAAATAGTGACTCATGTGGAGACACAGTGGACTGCCTGCTCTGTGGATGGTTACGTGGAGTACCTAGGAGCTTTTAATTATTCAGTTTCTCACGGCACTCTGTTGTGATTCACTCACAGTTCAGGAATAACTGGCTTTGTGGACTGGGCCATAGCAGTTACCCTGATAGTAGCAAAGAAAGTAAATGGCTGGGAATTCTTCCACCCAGAAGCATGTTGACAAAGCATTTCTTCTTGAAAATAGGTTATCCTTTCATATAGCTTTTCATAGCCTACAGAATGTAGCAGCAACATTGACAATGTTTCAGAGAGTCATTTCCAAGGTGGAATAGTGCTGCAACGGCTATTTTTGGCTAGTGTTAAGATAACTATCTGTAAAAAGGCTATCTTTTAAAAATTCTGTTAACTTTTCCAGCTGTCTTTGCTTAAGGACACTTTGCAGTTCTGCCCCCATAGCATGTAGTATACCTGCAGTCTGTCACCGTAGTCTGCTGCATGTGAAATTCCTGTGTTTTCTTGACCAAATTGTGGGGGATGTTATAAATCTTTCAGGAAGAGTATTAATTGCCCTTACTTGATTTCCAGCTGAATTTAGACCAAGAGTTGTATTTATGCATGTGAGTGCTTTAAAAAAGAAAGACAAGCATGTGACTAATGCTCTTTAAAGGCATAATAATAACATTATAAGACTAGGTATGCACTAGCAAATACACAGTAGCTTATTTCTAAGTAGTAGAAATATTTTCTCTTTAGCTTATTTTCAACCACTCCCCTGGGCAGTTTAAAAAACAGTAAAATACAATAAAATTAATAATGTTTAATAAAGTACACTAAAAAAATCACTTCAGCAATGTCAGTAAAGTACCATAAAATGAATTGATAAGTACATAATCCAATGAGGTATGAATTTTGTGCTGTGAGAACTACTGCATCTCAACTTTTGAAACTATCCCCTTTGCTTAATTTTTAAATTTAGAAATGCAAGCGTGCACGGTTGGATTAAAATGTGTTCTTTAATACATCAGAAATATTGTGTAAAACTTCATTCTATAAAACTGATGTTTAATTTTTTCATGTTAGCCTTTCAGACTGAAGGGAAGCTATATTTAATATTGGATTTTCTCAGGGGAGGAGATGTGTTCACAAGATTATCCAAAGAGGTATGTATTTATAAAAAATTAAATAAAATTATAATAGCTGTGAAGCTGAAAAGTGCATTATCTTTCTTGTTCACTGTTCCATTTTTATCCCACACGTTCTCCAAGGGTCTCAGGGCATACTCCCCACCTTATCCTTGTGACAACCCGTTGATGTCTGTCCGAGAGATAGGGACTGGCCCAAGGTTGCCCAGTGAACTACGCAGCTATACCCGGGTCTCTCAAGCCAAATCTCATTCTCTTTACTACGTTTGCTTTATAGAAGGTTATGTTTTGTTTGTCTTCAGCTTTTTAAATTAATTCTATTTTAATCAGATGTCCATTTCTAAATAAAATATAGATGCTTGCATATAGTTTACCTGTGAACCACCCCTTTGTGTGTCCAGGTTTTTTATTTATCCCTTTATTTACTTCATTTATATCTCCCCATTCTTTTTTCAAGAAATGTTCTTCAGCAGTTGGTTTCTTTTTTCTTTCTTTTTTGCAATAGTAAGCTGTCCCCCAACTGTGGAACTGATATGGCAGTTTTGATAACCATAACGATGTATAGGAAATTTGGAAGAGTCATCCTTTATCGGACGTCTCTGAGTATGGGAACCAAGCTATTACCACTTGCCCTTTTCTTCTCTCTGACTTTTAAAATCATTAGACAATGTGGGGTAGTTACTGTTTGAGTTTGATATCAGGTGATAAGCTGAGTGCTGAAAAAGCAAATAAGCAGATTGGATAAGCGAATGACTAGCAAACTAGAGCCTCCACTACTAGGTGTGTTTCACTTAATGAACTGCAGGCCTACATTATGTTTGATAAGTAATACATTATTGAGAAATATGATTAGTTTTGTCTAGAGCTGTTTGTTCATTAGAAATGTGTACATAAATTTCTGTTATTCCTAACATTGAGGAAAAAATCCCATTTTCTTTTGGCATTTTTCTTCTAAAACATATTCCTATGTGAACTATTGCATATTGTAACAGTAACAGCATTTTTATTTCCCCCCCAACTTGATTCCTAGTTTAAACATATATGTAGTACAATAGTTGCCTTTGAAAATATATGTAGTACAATAGTTGCCTTTGAAATTAAATGTTTATAGGCATCTGAAGTCTTAATTGCCCTTCAGATGAGCTATTGGCATTGAAGAGCATGTAGATGTTGTACGTTTATTGACCTGTGCCCCAGTCTGTAGGCTTGTTTCATTTGAGGAGCAGTGGGGGGTGGGGAGAGTGTAGGGTTGCCAAGCCGTTTTCTTGCCGCAGCGGGGGACTCCCGGTTGGAGTGCGCGCGAAGCGCGTGCACACCACACACACATCACTCGGACGTGACGTGACGTGACAACGCCAGGCACGCTGGGGCGGGGCCATGACCATCCGAGGAAAAACCATAGAATTTTCCCTCGGATGACTGTGGCCCTGCCCCCAGCGTGCCCGGTGTGGTCACGTCACTTCTGGGTGACGTGCACGTCGGGGTGGGGTTCCCCCCGGGGCCCGATCCGCCAGTGGCGGGGAACGGGCCTCTGGGGCGGGGTTTTTCCCGCCCCTCGGGGGGACTTGGCAAGGCTAGGAGAGCATGTATGCTGCATTAAATTACACTTCCATGAGGGAAGCGTGGTCATTTAGCCAGACAGCATGATCTCTCAGAAAGTTTATCACCATTCCACTTCTCCTCTGTTAAGGGTGGGGAATTGTATGTGTGTGAGAGAGATATCTGTTCAGATGGGAGCTTGCAGGATGAGCCTTGTCTTCCTCCACTGTCTGGGTATAGTGTCTATAGTTTGACCTCTTATCATACTAGGATGTGAGGAATGTATACATCTAGTTCATCTAAATCACAGATTGTCTGCTTTTAAATTCTGAAGAAGTTTATGAACGTTGTAGAGACATGCAGAAATTTAACAAGACCAGAATGTAAATCTATATAGTTCTTATTAGGTTATGTTTACAGAGGAAGATGTGAAATTCTACCTCGCAGAACTGGCTCTTGCTTTGGATCATCTGCACAGCTTGGGGATTGTATACAGGGACCTGAAGCCAGAAAAGTAAAGTAAAATGTATTTTATCCACTACTATATAGTACTACATTTAAGTTTGCTTTCATTTTTCATACTGCCAATATTCAGTTCTGTGAAAGCTTAGCTTTATTTATAGTACACTCCTGTGTAAGGTTTTACCAATCTAAGCCAATTTATTTCAAAAGGTCTTAGGTAGGGTTGCCAGCTGTGGGTTGGGAAATACCTGGGGATTTGGGGGTGGTGGTGGAACTTGGGGAGGGCACGTTTTGGAGAGGGGAGGGATCTCAGCAGGATATAATCCCAGCGTCTAGCCTCCAAAGCACCCACTTTCTCCAGGGAACTGCTTTTGGTCATCTGGACATTAATTGTAACAGTGGGAGATCTCCAGATGCCACCTGCATGGTGGCAACCCTATCTTAGACTGAAGCAACTGTATAGGATCGCACTGTTACGTGCTGATGGCTAGTTTTTTAATTCTTTCCCCCCATCTTTTTATTCTGCAACTGCTCTAGTTTTTAATGTCTAGTGCTCCTTCTGTTTTTGCTATTAGGATATATAATATGCCCATTAAGATTTAATTATGGTCTTTAATATTTCTGAGTCTTAAACCGTGGCTTTTAGTTCATTTTATTGGAACAATGCACTAATTTTAGGCTTGTGGTCTCCTGTTCCTTACTGTATCAGCTTCGTAAGCTGCCTTGTGAACTTTATATTGAAAGTGTGGAATATAAACGTCATGTTTTACTGTTAATTTTTCTAATATAAAAACCTTACAGTAAATTTATTTCCACACTAATCTCATTCAGTAATCCTGATATGAAAATGAAATTAATTTAATAAAACGGTCTTACAAAAATATTGCTGTTACATTTATTATATGTATTGGTGAATGTGAATTTTAATTTTCAGCATTTTGCTTGATGAAGCAGGACATATCAAGTTAACAGGTAAGTGGAACTTATTAGCATGGTTCATTCCAGTATTAGTGGATATACATAGTCTATTTGCTTTTAATAGCAGACATTTTCGGCAAGATACTTTAATCTATGATTTCAGCTATGGGGTTTTTCCAAATAGATTTTTATATACTGAGAAGTGAAGTCTGGCCAGGATATTTTGCTCACTTGCCAGAAACATGGCCTCCTCCTAGGCAGTCTAAAGGCTTTCCTAAGTTTCCTTCTGTTCAGCCAACCACTTCTTATGTATCATTGTGGCAAGAGGAGCCAGCCCGGGATTGGCTAGGGTGGCAGGAGTTGAGAGTTCTGTGCTGCCTCAGCTGGGGCTAGCTCCTTTCCCGGCTCAGTTTAAATCGATCTGCAAGAGGAGCCAGCTCCCAGCCAAGGCAGCGTGGGGCTTCTCAGCTCCCACTGCCCCAGCTGATCCTCTCTTGCACCTTGGTTTAAATTGAGCTGCGAGAGGAGCCAGCCCAGGATCGGCTGCTTGGTGGGCTCTGTTGGGCAGTCTGGTTTAAATTGGGCTGCCCAGCAGAGCCTTCGGGAAGAGTTCTCCCCACAGGATTGACTTCTTTGCAGGCTCTGTTGAGCAGTCCGGTTGAAACTGCGCTGCCCAGCCAAACCTGTGGGGAGAACTCTCCCCGCAGGATCGGCTGCTTGGTGGGCTCTGTTGGGCAGAATTCTCCCCACAGGATTGGCTGCTTGGCGGGCTCTGCTTTGCAATCCGGTTTAAACAAACCGGGTTTCCTCGCAGAGCCCCAAGTGAGCCTGTGGGGAGAGTTCTCCCTGAAAGTTCTGCTTGGGCTTTGCTGGGCAGTCTGGTTTAGACCGGACTGCCCAACAGAGCCCACCAAGTGGCCAATCCTTGGCTTGACTCCCTTCCAGCTGGGTCTGCGACCGTCAGGGGAAGAGAGGAGAGAG